GGTTGATTTTTGCCTGCTGCTGTGAGAACACAGCTTGTCTTTATTGGAACAGAACCCTAAAAGTAGGCCTGACAGTGATTTTTTTTTAATGAAAAAGAGAGGCTACTACCAAAAGGAACTGCAATAGGAAGCCTGAGGAGAGAGATATGGACAGATGTTCTGTCGCTGTCTACAGAGTCCTAGAAATGATTGATTTTAAAGATGTGGGATACAATTCAGGGTTAGGTCTACAAATGCTCATTGTGCAGGTACCCTTGTGGATGAGCCAGTGCTGTGCTAAACCATATTGCAAAAGGAAGGATGTGCACTATATGCCTATATCTGGACATACAATTCTTTGTATTTTAAAAAGTGGTTATTCCCTGAAACAAAAATATTATCAATGAGTGCTTCCATTAAAGACAGGAATGTAAATTAATAACAAATTCTGGTTTTAGTATAGATTTTTAAAAGTTATGAAGAGCAGGGATATTGCTCTTTGATCTTGACTCTAGAACATATTCCGAAGAAAACTGAAAGATCATTTACACAGAGCACTGACAATGGCTTGGTAGAATGAAAAGAATAGATCTTTAGGTGTCTTAAGACTTGGGCATAAATCTGTCACCGTTTTACTGTATAATCTTGGAACAGTTATCTAACCTCCCTGAGATTCAGTTTCCTCATCAGGAAAATTAGGTTGATAATGCCTGTAACCCAAGATTAGGTGAAAAACAATGGCACATAGGTGCTCAGTAAATGCTGATTCTCATATTTCCTTTTTCTACATTCTCTCAATCCCAGTCTGGCAGCCTGAATTCAAAGCTGCGCTATAGATGTGTTTTTTGCTGTCTGATGTGTTTGGGTTTTGGTTTTCTTGGGTTTTTTTGCTTTAAGAAAACACAATTGAGAATTTCCTAAAACTCTAATTCCAGCTGATTTTGAAAAACAGCAGTGGTGCAATGACCACACAATGACTGGAATCAATTATTTAGACAGGGTCTATTCTATCCAGCTCACTGGTTTCCCAATCCGGCCATGCTCAGTTCCTTGAGCTATTGCCTGACAATATAGACAATTGAATCTGCCAAATCTGCGAGCAGTCACAAAGGAGTTCACTATCTTTTCTTCTCTCTACCATATCTCAAGTTCTTATGGTGCCCTAATCCAGTACTGAACTGAGACAGGCCATATGGACTCATGCTATCCATGATGGAGCAAAAGCTCAAATGTGAAACTGAAAGTTCAGTCAATCAGTTACATGAAACCAAGTATGGGGGAGGGAGGTGGAAGAGACACTCACATGCACACATTCACATGCATGTGCACATGCATGCACACAAACGTGCACATGCAAACACACCATGATAATCTCACTACATTCAGTTACGTCTATTTAAACTTTCTCTCAGTATATTAAGTGAAATGAGTTCATAAGAATAAAGTATAAATCATGTGATTCGATTCTAAAAGTGTTAATGAATGATTAAAGGTAGTTTTTGTTCCAAGAGAATTTGCATCAGCTTATATTTGCACATATAATAAAAGAGTAAGTTACTTTAATTGTCAAATAAATAGGTAATGAAAATAAACTGTAGAGGACCACAAAGAAGCAGGTATTCTCACATTGCAGAAAGGAATGTAAATGATACAACCCCTCTGAAGGAGAATTTGGAAAAATCTAACAAAATTCCAGACAAACTTACCTATTTAGACCCAAAAAATCCAACTCTAAGAATCTATCTTGAAGATATACCCACTTAAGTGAGAAATAAAATATGTATACATATCTTAGTTGTCTACTGCAACATCACAAATAGGGTGACAATCATTCCTGTCTGTCCAAGACTGAGAAATGTACTGGAATTCAGGATTTTCAGTGCTAGAACTAGGGCAGTCCCAGGCAAACCATGACTGCTGGTCATCCTAGTAACAAATTACTTTGAAATGTATCCACTTGAAAAAATATACTCTTGTTTATCTCACAGTTTCTGAGAGTCAAGAATACAGGCACAGCTTAACTAGACCTTTGCGTTATAGACTCTCACAAGGCTGTAATTAAGGTGTCAGATAGGGCTGGGGTCTCATCTAAAGGTTCAACTAAGAGAAGATCTATTTCCAAGCTCATGTATGTGGTTGTTGGCAGAATTCAGTTCCTTGAAGACTATTGGAATGGAAGCTTTAGCTATTTGCTGACTGTGAAATGTAGTTTGTTTGTTTGTTTGTTAGTTTTTGTCATGTTGTCTTCTCCAACATGTCAACTTACTTCATCAAAGTCAATAAAAGAGAGAATTTTCTGGCATGACATAAGTCACACTTTTTGTAGCCTAATCACAGAAGTGACACACTTTCAATACTGCCATATTCTATTGAGCAGAAGCAAGTTACTCAAAGGGAGGGATTATTCAGTGCTGGATTATCATCTGGGACCAGTTTAGACGCTGACCCTGAACCTGGGTGTATCAGATATACCTTGTGTTCCATTTCCAATCATCTCAACCCACAGTCATCCAGCACTATCTTCTCCTCAGAAGCAGTTCGGGTACGAAGGATGAGTTCCACATTGGGCAAGTGTGGGAACTAATCTGATGAAAATCCTCTCTCCCAAAAGGGGTCAATAGCTCTTATGACAACTACCTAGATTTACCTTTCATTGTCCTAAGAGCCACCCTGTTATGAAAATCACCATACTCGGGGAAGCCCAGAGTGTGGCATTCCCAGCAGCTATTTATGATTCATTTATAGCCCAGAAGCAATTTACAACTCAGGGGTCATTTTTGTCATCACCAGTGCTGCCTGGAAGTCGAGTGATTGTGCTACCGTTACCAGGTTGCCAGAGTATCAGAGCTACACCGTCAACCCTAGGTTGGTTCAACTGACATGCAGAAGGAAAAGGCTTGTTTACCTCTTACTCACCCACCCTTCTATGAGACAGTCTACAGAGTCTCCTCCTCTTTAGAAAGGAGCTACTATGGCTGCAGGAGTGTTTCAATGTCTTTGGAAAAGATGTGGATGACAGAGAGGAATTCCAAAACCAGATCTCTCTCTACTCCTTGTTTTTCTAAAGCAAGCCCTTCTTGAAATATAAGGCTTATGGGTTTTGTTTTTTGTTTTGTTTTGTTTTGTTTTTTTAAGTAGGGAGGTTACTGTAGCAATGATCCAGTCACATCTTAGGGCTTCATCTGAGACACAAGAGTTGGAAGTGCTTGGGTCTACTGAGGCAGATTGTAAATGTCACCCCTTTCTACTATGTCCTGCAGATAAGAGGGTGAGATAGTCTTACCAGGAACCAGAAAGTTGCCTCTCAAGTGAAATTAGGCCCCCTCTGGATGAGCCATCAGGAGCAGTTCTCCTGAACCCAGTTGACCCTAGTGCTTCCCAGGCAGGCCGGCAGGCCTAACACATGGGTCCCAGTGGAGTACATGGGGACCTCTCACCCCCAACTCACTGTTCCTCTCTCAGGCCTTGAGTGCCTGGGCACAATCAATTCTCTGCTCTCTCCCGTAGTGCACCCTCTTTCCTCTTCCTGCTTTTGTCACTTGGCTCCATTCCGTGTCCCCTAGGATGGAGCTGGAGAGAGTTTAGTGTCCATGTAGATGAAGAGCAGCATGAAAGTCAAGCATCTACTTACACAGCAATCAAATCAATTCCCCAGTGAAAATGGATGCCTCAGTAAAAAAAAAATCTCCATTATGCTAAAAGGGTCTCTGGCTCTTTTCTTCCCTCTTTGAGTTACATTAAGAACAGGTCCTATTCTGACCTCTTAACCTGATGGGTAGCATGCCCTGGGGAAGTAGGGAGGCAAGGAACCCACTCTGCACATCAGTACTTCCCATCTTACAGAAGCCTGCCTTATTTGTTCCAAGAGACTGAATGTTCGTGGAAAAGGTTCTTCCCCATCAAGGCAGCCCTCACCTTCTCTCAAGGAAGCATAGCAGGTAGACTCTCTGTGGAGACTTGCATTTCCATCTTTAGGGCTCTGCTCTGACCTCCTTGTGGCCAAAATTTGGTTCTTTTCTCCCTCGGTGAGCCCAATAAACTTCTTTAATGATTCTAGTCATGCTTTGGTCCACGTTCCAGAGAGCCAAGAACAGTCTCTGGAGGAAAACAGACAAGGTGGCATCTGTGAGCCAAGAAGAGTTATGCGGTGATTCTTTAATGAATTTGTTGAAGGGAGGAGATAGAATATAGGGCAAAGTCCGAGAAGGCAGAGAGGGAGAGCTGGGAAAAGACAGCAGATGTTGTAAAAGATACTCTTTCAAGTTTCCTGTGCACTAGGAATCTGCAGATGTATGTTGGCAGGGCTACAGTCAGAGTGCAGCGGGAGGCTGGGGCAGCACATCTGGAAAGTGTTTGGCAGAGGTCAGAGTTCAAACACTCTCTGCCTCAGCTGCCTCTGACAAACCTCGCCACTCAGGCCGGTGCTGAGTGAGGGGCCAGCCATCCCAGAGAATCCCTCTGGCCTCACTCAGTAGAAGCCCTACCTAAACCAGTGGGTTTTCCTCTGTATCAGTTCAGTCCCATGGAAAAGTGGAAAGGATTATAAAAGGAGAGGAGGGGACAGGAGAAGGAGGAGAATGAGAAGAGAATGCACCACAACTGAGAGAAGCCTGGCTAGAAATCAAGAAACAAAATGTACTTGGACTGAATCCAGTGCATGAGTTAACTTGAGAGCAAAGAACACCATTCAGGGGAGGGAAGGAAAAAAAAGCTTTCTCCCTGCATAGTAACGCCCAGGGATCATGCTTACACCACATTTACTTTTCTCAGAAATCCCTGTACATTTTGCCTTCACTTATTTCAAGAATGTCGAGGGCTTTCTTGATCATGAGGGAATTACTGACTTCCTTGGGAAGGATTTATGGGGTTCTGCTGAGAGAAAGAGCAGGTCTCTGAAGGCTGGGTCATCACCCGCACTGACCCGCAGCCTCCTACTGTCAAATATGAGATGCCGTGCTCCCTCCCAGAAGGGAGCCAGGTCACCCCAGGTGCTTAGGTTCCCTCAGAGGAGAAGTACATCTTTAGGGTGAAGTGGGATCCCGGTTCCTGCCACACTCAACTATGCAGACGAAACGACTTGCAGCTGCTCTCAGGCACAGCTCCAGGCCTCCTGGTCTCATGTTTGGTGGCAAGGTGACCTTTTCAGGAGTGGTCATGAGGTAGAGGCACCGGGGCATACCCACGTTGGTGAATAGGATCCAGGACCTCAGAAGGATCAGAGTCCACCTGGGGACAGAACACAGCACAGAAAAAAGATGAGGCAAAATTACAACAAAAATATAGTAAATACCAAATGTGAAATAAAGCACGTTAAGACAGATCTCCTCAGAATCCTCACCCCTGAAGCTTGCTTATCTTCTTGTATCCTCTGACTTGATGGATGTCCCTGCCATCTCTGTAGCTGCCCAAGTCAGACACGCTCAGGTCTCCCTTTCATCACTGTGCCTGTCCCATTTGGCCACCGGGTCTTGTTGATGTTATGCCCTTAGCATCTCTTGAATGTGTTGTCCTCATCCTAATGCCACCACCCTAAATGTCTCTAGCCTGACCCACTGCAGCTGCCTCCCAGTTGGTCCCCCTGCTGCTAGTCATGTCCGTTCTGTGAGTTATCTTTCTGAAATCTAAATCGAGGAGTATGCCGCTATTCTAAGTGGTCCAACGGTTCACCACGGTTTTCAGGATAAGGTACAAAATTGTCATTATCTAGTCCTTTGCCCACTTCCCAAACCTCATCTCTGGTGACATGCTGGTAAAACTTAACAATCAAATCTCCAGAAAGATCACTGCATTTATCTTACACAACAAAGACTCATACTTCCCCTCAAACAACAGTGAGCTTCTTTCAACTTCCTGATCATTCTGTAATCTCCCCTGTATCCTGAGTCTTTGCATATCTTTCGCTTTCATCCCAAAAGGAGCTTCTTCCTGCCTCCCCCACACCTACCATCTTTCAGGTCCAAGTTCATGCAAGAAGTCTTCCCATAGAAAGTATAGTGGTCATCAAAGGAGATGCAAATTAAAACTACACTGAGATACCACCTAACTCCAGTCAGAATGGCCATCATCAATAACTCAAAAAATAACAGATGCTGGAGAGGATGTGGTGAAAAGGGAACACTTCTACACTGTTGGTGGGAGTGTAAACTAGTACAGCCTCTGTGGAAATCAGTGTGGCAATTCCTAAAACTTCTAAAAATTGACCTTCCATATGATCCCACAATCTCCCTACTGGGAATATACCCGGAAGAACTCAGGTCACTCTATAATAAAGATACCTGCACACATATATTTATCGCAGCATCAAAAGAGGACTGGATTAAAAAAAATGTAGTGCATATATACAATGGAATATTATGCAGCCATAAAGAAGAACAAAGTGATGGACTTCACAGCAACACGGATGGAATTAGAGCTTATAATACAGCGTGATCTCTCACAGAAACGAAGAGCTGAGTATCACGTGTTCTCACTCATAAGTGGACCTTGAACAACTACTGTATTATGGTAGGAAAGGGATTTAAAGTAGCGGGAAACTGCGGGGAGGGGGCTGGAGGGTGAGTAGCTGGGATTGACAACAGTTGATATCCACCGGGGGAAGGGGGGGCACACCTCATCAATAAGGGCACCTGCACAATGAACACTTGTATACCTAACCCTGAATTGTACCCCACAATTTCAAAATAAAAATTAAAAAAAATAAGAAAGCATAGTGAACATCAGTGTCTACCAAAACGCTACCCTGTATTTGTTGCTGGAGAGTCACTGCTCTATGACTTCTTGAGAACAGGGAACATTGTTTAATCTTTGTGTTCATACTGCCTTACACACTTCTTGGTACATAGTAGGTTTTCAGTAACAGCTGAATTAAAGAATACAAACATTGCTCATTTTTAATTTATTAATTATATTTTTCCCACTTGCGAAAAGATTCAAGGTCATGAACAAAAGCAGAAGGGTGAATAAATGCTTTCAACCCTCCACTGAGATCAAGACCAAGTTTTGGAAAAGATAGAGTAGTCAGAGAGGACTTGGTGGAGGTGTGTTGCCAGATTTAGCAAGTTATAATATGGAATGCCTACTTAAACTTGAATTTTAGGTATGCAGCAAATAAGTTTTCAGTGTATGTCTCATGCAACATTTGAAAGATACTTACAGTATAAAAGATATTTATCTAAATTCCTATTGAGGCTGGGCTCGGTGGCTCAGCCTGTAATCCCACGTTTTGGGAGGCCAAGGTGAGTGAATTGCCTGAGCCTGCGGGTTCGAGACCCACCTGGGCAACTTGGCAAAACCTCATCTCTACAATAAATCAAAAAAATTAGCCGGGCGTGGTAGCGCGCGCCTGTAGTTCCAGCTACTTGAAAGGCTGAGGCGGAAGGATCGCCGGAGCCCAGCAGGTCGAGGCTGCGGTGGCCGGGAGCGGCCACTGCACTCCAGTCTGGGCGACAGAGTGAGACTCCGACTCAAAAAAATAATAATAATAATAAATAAAATAACATTCCTATTGAATTGAGTGTTCTGTATTTTATCTGGCAATCCTATCTTTGAGGAGGCTGCATTTGAGCAAGACCAAGAAGGATGAGTCAGATTTAGAGAGGACAGAGAGAAGCGGGACTGGATCTCCTAATTGGGGACTAGTGCGAGGGGTGAAAAGCAAAGTGCACAGAAAACGGACGCCTGCCAGGCATTTTGAGATTGGTCAAGATTAGGGCATGAGTTTTATACCTACAGAGGACACAAGGCCAAAAAGAAGGAGGGGAAACATTGAAACTGACATTGAGGTGGCCAGAGAGGAGACAACTGCAATTGTTCGTACATGTGTTCGGGGTTTATAAGTCCTGGACTGGCCCACAAGCAACTGGGAGAAAAGACAGAAAAAAAAGGTGCAGATTTCTAAATGGGGGCAGTGGGGTGAGGACAGGGGACAAGGAGAGATTCTAAAGAATGCTCCACGATTTAAGATTCAGGAGGAGAAGCCAGATTGGGAGGGGCAGGCAGAGGTGGATGAGCTTCATTTAGACAAGTTGAATTTGATATGAACGTGGGACAACCAAGGAGAAACATGTAGCTGAGCTGGAGATGGGGTGCCGAAGCCTGAGCATGACCGTGACCATGAAATGTCCCCTCATATGTAACTGTAAGGGTTCACGGGGTCTCTCTGTCACTTACATGATCCACCTACATGAAGCAGGGATGAGACTGTCCTCACAAATATCCCAAGCAGTGTAGTGGGACATGGACATGCTGGCATGATCAATGACAGCTCCTCCTTCCAGAGCTTCTCAAGACTCCAGCCAGGGACAACCTCTACCAGGCCCTACCACTGTGGGAGCTTCTGTGTCCTCTCAATAAATCCGGCTTAAAATAAAAAAGAGTCCAGCAGGCCCTGGGAGGGATGTGTCACTCTTTGGCTTCCTGAGGGAATGTTTGATGCAATTAAGACAACCATAAGATAGAATAGCATTTTTCCGGAAAGGCACCTGTACGCATTGTAAAACCTAAATTTAATATAGTTCAAATCCATGCCCAAATGGAGCAAATTGCTTATATACATTGGGAGAGACTGGTGGAGGCACAGTTTATGGCAATAATAGATATGAAAGTGCTTTGAAAATTATAATGTGCTGTGAAAGTCTAATAATAACTTATCGTGATTCACCCAAACTAAACAGCTAGAGTATAACTGAAAATAATCCCCCAGACATCCGAAGTTATGTCTGTATTCTGTCAGACATCCACATATTTCTTTTTTTTAATTGCTCTAGCCAACGTGCCTAGCGATGGGCTCTGGCAGAGTGTCTTCATCTGTCCTGGCTCCCACCTGCCCCCTCTAGGCGTTCTTGACTTATCAAGAGAGAATAGTATCTTGGGCAAGGAAGGCAGGCACGGCCAGAGTCCAGATTCCAGGGCTGGGATCCAAAGGGGGCTCAGGGTGATGGAGAAAGTGTGAGTGGCTAAGCCGTCCAGACAAATGTCCATCAGGGCCAAGGGGAGGCTAGTGTCTCCACCTCTCCACCTTTGCCAGGAATAGGAGAGCAGGAGGAAGAGCTTCCCCTAGAGGTTCGCTGCTGGCCCCTTTGTGCCATCGGCATCTCCTGGATATTGTCCTCAGCTTCTTTAATGCTCCGTTCCAGGTAGGGTTTCTTCTGCTCTAGTTCTTTAATTTTAATTGCTATTTTCTGTTTCTCTAACAGCTGATTGTGAATTACCTCCTTGGATTGAAGAATAAACATTCTTCCTACACCTTCGTACATGTTAGTCTCATCTACCAAAGCCATGATCTCTGTATCTGTAAGATGTGCATGCTTTTTTGTTCGGTTTAGCTGTTCAATCTGTATGTCTGCAAGCTTCATCTTCAGCTGAGTGTCAATAGCTTTGGCTTGAAGCTCTGCGAAGGTCTTCTTCAACTCCAGATCCACGGGGGCCACCATCTTGGTGCACTCCATGCGCCTGCACAGTGCACATCTGCATAGTTCAGGACAACTAAAGTCAACCTTCCCCCACACTCCTTAAGCCCATCTTGACCGTCTTTTCCTCAGCACGTATCACCATCTACCATTCTATATAAGTAATAACTTGCTAATTTTGTTTCTGATCCCCTCCAAGAATGTATAAGCCTTGAGGGTTGGAACTGAAGTTTTGTTTCACAGCCCTCTCCCTCCATGTCCCAAAACAGTGCTTGCTTCTGATTGAACAGATTAACTTTAGTTATCAAAGTTTTGCATATCTTGGTAGCTAGGAAGTGTCCTGAAAGACAAATGTGGAGGAGATCTCAGAATCATGACGTCTGTTGTCACATAACTGGGTATCAAAGTGTCATGAAGGCTTCTCAGGAGATACGGTCCATGTGATCGACTTGACTGTCCTCACAATAAGGACTGGACTCACATTTGGAGACCAGTGCCTAAGTCCTTTCTCATTATGGACACTGTGAGCATCTCAGGTGAAGTATGAGGGTTAATTCCTCTCCTTCTACTTGGTAAGGACCTTACTTACTAAGTTTAGTATTTGATCTTCTCTTGTGCTTCAAGAGGCCTCAAGAGCATCAACCTAACCCCACCGAGGACTGACTTGTCAAAAGCAACCTACGGGCTGCTTTTTTTTATCCTCTTGGGACACTGTATTGGTTTCAAATGCCAAAGAAGAGGCACGTTTGAATTCAGATTCCAGAGCTCAGCACGTCTATTTGAGACTGCTTCTTTGGGCCGTCCAGTCCCCTGTTTCTGTAGCAATTCTAACTACCTCGGTGTTGAGTGGACACCCCCTTCACTGGTGTTCTGCAGAGCAAGTGAAAAGGAAAGGATTCCTGCTCAGCTTCTCGGCATGAACAGGCATCCCTGATGCAGACAAACACAAAAAATACACTGCAGCTGAAGCTCAGATGAGCCTTGAAAGGCATCCAGCTGCTCTCTTAACCCCAGCTGGTACGTGTCCTGGTTCAATAATGGGAGAGACTGGCAAGCCTTGGAGAGCCAGTGCTGGAGTCCAAAAGGCTGTCATGTCTGAGCAGGCTTGGCCTCCCGGGAGGCAAGAGGCTTGAGGGAAAAACCTCAGTAACAGGATGTTAAGAAGATGGAGGAGTTCTAGCTGAGAAAGACCCTACTAAGTAGCTTTTTCCCAGAGTCTGGTTGCAGGGAGATTGACACAAATTAACAGTAACAAGAGGTCCACACAAGGCCACAGGGGGAACGCCAGAGTATCTGAAGAAGTCATGGGTGGTGGCACCTGAATTCCCAACAGGTCACTGTGATAGGAAGCCTGGTGTCCGTTCTCTCACCGTTGTCCCCATGGACTCCTCCCACTTCTCCTCTGTTGGGTGTCAATCACTCGGCCACCCACAAAGACCCTGGAGAAAAGGCTTTCCCGCTCTCTCCTTCTGACTCGAGGGTCTGCATCCCACGAGCCCTCCCCATCCGCCGTTAGGCCATCCAGCTCCACAAAGCCTATCACCCCTTGGTCGTTTTCGCTCTTGTCTTCTGTCAATTCATTGCAGTCTTCCTTCGACCTCCGAATTATTGCCAGATGTGAAGCTGATGGGTATGGGCTTACGGATGCTATTGCTGCCAGATTCTCTTCCCCTCATTGTCTAGGAGTCTGTCTCCATTTAAGCTATAATCCTTTTTGCCATTTTTGACCCAGTTCCCATTATTCCATATTTTTCCATAATAAGTCAAATAAGTCACTTGTCAGCCTATATAAATCTTATTGGTTCCAGCTCTTGCGTTGTGACTAAAATGAATGCCTGATGGAAAAAAAAATTCCACAGGCCAGTCCCAGGGACTCATCTACTTCCACTTTCTTAGCTAGAATAAAGGATGGGATGCTCTTTTTAAAATTCTGGTGGTATTCCTTAACTGGATAGAGAGGGGCTGTAACTCACTACTATCCTACTTCTGCAAACTCACATGGAAGAATGTGTTCAAATATATGAAAAATATGGGGGGAAAGTGTGAAGAAAACACTCCTATGTAACAGTTACCCATTCCTGAACAAAAATTGGTAGCAGAAAATGAATGTGTTTCACAAACAAGGTGAAGGAAGAAGAAATTGAGCAAGAGAAAAAAAGGATGAGGCATTCATCTGAGGCATAATTAGTCCTCCCTTCTTATCTTCAGTCCAAAACTGTGTGACTGGGCAAAAGCAGAAGAGGAATCACTTTAGAAAATATTATTTTTTTGAAATATGCTTGCTATGACTATACATCTGAACAAAGATGGCTGTGGTGCTAAATAACCCACAGACTGGTCCGGGCCCTTTCAGGGCATATTTCAGAAGGAATCACATGCACTGTGTTTGTACCACAAACCCTTTGAACCAAACCAAACTTCTCAGGTCTCTCACTGCTCCTTAATATGCCACATCTTGCTCATCCATCATGTAGGAAAACATGATGACTCGTTAAAGGTGTTTTCAGATGCTATTCTTAGACTATTTTTCTCTTCAAAATCAAGTAGTTTCACAACCAATCAACCGAAACTGTAGAAAGTGTGGGACTCCTAACAATTACACCCAGAAATAGTAAGGTCAGGATGGTTTTATAATCCTGCCAAAGTGGTCATTGCTTTGCCCTGGCTGTTGGCAATTTGCCTCTTGCAATGCAGAGACACTGACACAGGTGAGAAACAATAATCACTTCATGATAGGGATACAATTTTGAGAAATGCGGTTAAGTGATTTTGTCATTGTGTGAACAACATAGACTGTACTCACACAAGCCTAGATGGTAAAGCCTACTACACACCTAGGTTGATTGGTATAGCCCATTGCTCTTGGGCTACAAACGTGTACATCATGTTACTTACTGAACACCGTGGGCAGTTGCAACACAATGTTCAGTATTTGTGCAGTAAGAATTTCTCAGCTCCTTTAAAATGTTGTGGAACCACTGACATGGATTTAGTTTGTCCTTGACTGAAAAGCCATCATTCAGTGCTCCACTGTATAAACATTTTATAGATAAAAGTCTGAGATTATGTTAGTTAACTCGCCAGGTGTCAGAGAGTAGCTGGTGGTGTCAGGATATGCACAGGTCCACTAGAATCCAGAGCCTGTACTTTCCAACAGGCTGACAGCAGAATTTTTTAAGTTAGATACTTTAAAAAGGAGAGTCAAAACAACAATAGTGTTGACCCTTCAACAACATGGGTTTGAACTGCACGGGTCCTCTTAGACATGATTTTCTCCCACCTCCGCCATTATTAAGGCAGCAAGATCAATCCCTCCTTTTCCTCAGCCAACTCAATGTGAAGACGATGAGAATGAAGACCTTTCATGATGATCCACTTACACTTAATGAAGAGTAAATATTTTTTCTCTTCCTTATGACTTTCTTTTTTTATTATTATAAATACATGTGGTGCAATTCAGGGTTAGGTATACAAACGTTGATTATGCAGATACCCTTGTTGATGAGGCATGCCCCTCCCTCCCCTGACAATTTCCCACTACTGCCAATCCCTTTCTTATAGTGTTATAATTGTTCAAGGTCCGATATGAGTGAGAATATATGGTACTCTGTTCGTTGTTTCTGTGACCGATCACTGAGTATGATTGACTCTAAATCCATCCAAGTTGCTGCAGAGTCCATATGTCTGTCTTTCTTTGTGGCTTCGTAATATACCATTGTGTATAAGTACCACATTTTCTTAATCCAGTTCAGCTTTGATGGGCAGCATGTTTGGCTGCATGTTTTTGCTGTTGTGAATAGAGCTGTAACAATCATACGTGTACAGGTATCTTTTTTGTAAAATGATTTGAGTTCCTCTGGGTATCTTACCAATAGGGGGAACTCTTGGGTCATATGGAAGGTCAGTTTCTAGTTCTTTCAGAAATTGCCACACTGTCTTCCAAAGAGGTTGCCCTAGAAACGTTCTTTTTTCTCTGCATCCTTGCCAGCATCGGTTGTTGTTTGTGGCATTAATGATGGCCATTCTTACTGGGGTTAGATGGTATCTCAATGTGGTTTTGACTTGCATTTCTCTGATAATTAGTGTGACTGAGCATTTTTCACGTGTCTGTTGGCTGCCCATATATCTTCTTTTGAGAAGTGTCTATTCATGTCTTTTGCCCACTTTTTAAATGGGACTGTTTTTTTCCTGTTGGTGCATTTGAGTTCCTTATAGATCATAGATGTTAGGCCTTTGTCAGATATACAATTGGCAAATATTTTTTCGCATTCTGTGGGCTGTCTCCCTGCTCTCTTGATGGCTTTTTTCTTTGTTTGCTTGTTTTCTTTTGGCTTTGGCATTAATGTATGTGTGTGTTTTCAAGTTTCTTGTTGCACTGTATTCTCTGTTGATTCTGTGCTCTGCTGTTCTCTTGGGAAGTGTGTGGTCATTCTTTTTTCTCTCTCTCTTCTATGCTTAATATCTTTTTAAGTGTCTCTTGTAGAGCTGGTCTGGAAGCTGCATAATCTCTTAGGGATTGGATGTCTGGGAAAGATTTTAATTCTCCATCACTGATGAAGCTGAGCTCGGCTGAGCAGGAAATTCTTGGTTGATATTGTTTACCTTTTAGGACTTTGAATATTGGACTCCAGTTTCTTCTTGCTTGTAGTGTTTCTGTCAATAGGTCTGCTGCTATTCTGATTAGTTTTCCCCAGTAGGTAGTCTGACCTTTCTCTCTTGCTGCCTTTAGGCTTTTTTTCTTTTGTGCCTTCTTTGTGTAGGCGAATTACTATGTGTCTATGGGTTGGTCTTCTCATTTGATTTCTTTTGGGGTTTCTCTGTATCTCTTGTGCTTGGCTTGTCACATGTCTGGTGAGATGGGAAAAGTTTTCTTGGATTACCTCCTGGAATATGTGCTCCAAGTTGTTCTCCATTTCCCTTTCTTCTTCTGGGATACCAATCAGGCATAGGTTCAGCCTCTTTATATAGTCATACATCTCTTATAGGCTTTGTTCTTTCTTTCTGAGTCTTCTTTCTTTTTTTTTTTTTTTTTTTTTTT